ACCCTGGTAGTGGAACAACCCCAAGAACCAACCCAGGCAGTGGTACTAGGACAGGGGTAAGTCCTGAAAGCAGTAGTCCTGGAACACGAAGTACCGGAGCATACCCAGGTAGCGGTAGAAATCCAAGAATAAAGCCAAACAGTGAAACCAGAAGCTACCGCGGTGGTGATATTAGAACATGGAGTGGCCCTAGAACTGCCCTTTATCCAGCTCCTGGTACGAGTACTGTCTCATATCCTGAGAATAGTACCGGGTCCGAGGCCAATCCCTCCAGAGGTACTGGAACTGGGACAAATTCAAATAGTTGTACTTGCGCCCAAACACATCCAGATAGTGGTACAAGAGCAACGGTAAATCCAAAGAACAGGGGTGGAACAAAAAGTAATCCAGAGAGTAATACTGAAACCAGTACTTATCCAGACAATGATGCTAGTACGAAAAGCTATCCTGGTCATGGTACTAGTACTCAAGTGTATCCCGAAAGCGGCATTGAACCTGTTGTATATTCAGGTCGTCATTCAGGTAATGGAGCATATAAAAAAATCAGCGGCTATCCACATAGTCGTATAGGAACCGCAGACTATCCTAATTATGGTACTGGAACAGCTACAATCTATCCAGGAAAACGTACTCTACCTGAACCCTTCCCTGTAGCTGCTAATTATCCAAGCAGCGATGCCAGTCCTGGAAGCTATCCAGAACGCGGTATTGGTACTAGAACTTATTCTGAGAGTGGCCATGGAATTAGTATTGGAACCGGAGCATATCCCGATAGTGACAGTGGACCCGCAATCTATCCAGAGAGTGGCATCAGAACAAGAACATACCCAGGTAGTGGTCGAGGAACAGGAACTGATTCTGAATCTGGGACATACCCAGACATTAATACAAGAACTAACCAAAACAGTGGCACAAAAACTGTGGAATACCCAGGGCGCGATGATGGTAAAAGAATTAATCACGAAAGTGGTACAGGGCATGAAGCATATCCAAGTAGTGGTACTGGAACTGCAGGTACCCACCCAGGCACCGACACACGTATTGGAGGCCATCCAGAACGCGGTATTGGTACTAGAGCTTATCCAGAGAGTGCCACTGAAACGGACGGTTACCAAGGTCGTGCAACAGATACTGGATATCCAGAAAGTGGTACTGCAACCAGAGCCTATCCCGAAAGTGACAGTAGAACCGGAATCTATCCGGATAGTGGTACCGGAACCGGGACATATCCTGGAAGTGGTAGAGTAAAAGGAACCGATTCTGAATCTAGGACATACCCAGACATCAATGGAAGAACTAACCAAAATAGTGGCACAAGAACTGGAGCCTACCCAGGCTGGGATACTAGTACAGAGGCATATCCAGGTAGTGGTAGAGGAACAGGAACTGATTATGAATCGGGTACATACCCAGACATCAATACAAGAACGAATGAAAACGGTGGCACTATAACTGGAGCCTACCCAGACCGGGATACTGGTACAAAAGTCAATCCCAATAGTGGTACAAGGTTTGACGCATATCCAAGTAGTCGTACTGGAACTAGTACCTATCCAGGCAGCGATACTACTGTTGGAGGCTATCCAGAACGTACCGTTGGTACTAGAACTAATCCAGAGAGTGGAACTGGAACAGCTGGGTACCCTGGTCGTGGTACTGATACCGGAATATATCCAGAGAGTGGTACTGGAACCGCAGCCTATCCTGATAGTGATACTGGAACCGGCACCTATCCCAATAGTGGCACAAGAACGGGGGCATATCCAGATAGTGGAAAAGAAACAGGAACCGATTCTGAAACTGGGACATACCCACACATCAATGCAAGAACTAACCAAAAAAGTGGCACTAGAACTGGGGCCTACCAAGGCCGGAATACTGGTACAATATTCAATCCCAACAGTGGTACAGGGTATGGCGCATATCCAAGTAGTGGTACTAGAATTGGTACCTATCCAGGCAGCGATACTAGTGCTACAGGATATCCAGAACGTGCTGTTGGTACTACAAATTATCCAAAGAGTGGTACTGGAACAGCTGGTTACCATGGTCGTGGTACTGATACCGGAATATATCCAGAGAGTGGTACTGGAACCGCAGCTTATCCTGATAGTGATACTGGAACCGGGACCTATCCCGATAGTGGCACAAGAACGGGGGCATATCCAGAGAGTGGAAAAGAAACAGGAACCTATTCTGAAACTGGGACATACCCACACATCAATGCAAGAACTAACCAAAATAGTGGCACTAGAACTGAGGCCTACCCAGGCCGGAATACTGGTACAATATTCAATCCCAACAGTGGTACAGGGTATAGCGCATATCCAAGTAGTGGTACTGGAACTGGTACCTATCCAGGCAGTGATACTAGTGCTGGAGGATATCCAGAAAGTGCTATTGGTACTAGAACTTATCCAGATAGTGGTACTAAAAGAACTGGTTACCCTGGACGTGGTACTGGTACCAGAATATATCCAGAGAGTGGTACTGGAACCGGAGACTATCCAGATAGTGGCTCAAGAACAGGGGCATATCCAGGTAGTGGAAAAGAAACAGGAACAGATTCTGAAACTGGGACATATCCAGACATCAATGCAAGAACTAACCAGAATAGTGGCACTAAAACTGGGGCCTACCCTGACCGGGATACTGGTACAAAAGTCAATCCCAATAGTGGTACAGGTTTTAGCGCATATCCAAGTAGTGGTACTGGAACTAGGGCCTACCCAGTCCGGAATACTACTGCTGGAGGCTATCCAGAACGTACTGTTGGTACTAGAACTTATCCGGAGAGTGGTACTGGACAAGCTGGTTACCCTGGTCGTGGTACTGATACCGGAATATATCCAGAGAGTGGTACTGGTACTGGAACCGGAGCCTATCCAGATAGTGATAGTGGAACCGGAACCTATCCAGATAGTGGCACAAGTACAGAGGCATATCCAGGTAGTAGAAATGAAACAGGAACCGATTCTAAAACTGGGACTTACCCAGACATCAATGCAAGAACAAACCAAAATAGTGGGACTGGAACTGGGGCCTACCCAGGCCGGAATACTGGTACAATAGTCAATCCCAACAGTGGTACAGGGTATGGCGCATATCCAAATAGTGGTACAGGAACTGGGGCCTACCCAGGCCGGAATACTGGTACAATATTGAATCCAAACAGTGGTACAAGGTATGGCGCATATCCAAGTAGTGGTGCTGGAATTGGTACCTCTTCAGGCAGCGATACTAATGCTGGAGGCGATCCAGAAGCTGCTGTTGGTACTAGAACTTATCCAGAGAGTGGTACTGGAGCAGCTGGTTACTCTGGTCGTGGTACTGATACCGGAATATATCCAGAGAGTGGTACTGGAACCGGAGCCTATCCAGATGGTGATGGTGGAATCGGAACCTATCCAGGTAGTGGCAAAAGAACAAAGGCATATCAAGGTAGTGGCAAACAAACAGGAACTGATGCTGAAACTGGGACATACCCAGACATCAATGCAAGAACTAACCAAAATAGTGGCACTAGAACTGAGGCCTACCCAGGTCGGAATACTGGTACAATAGTCAATCCCAACAGTGGTTCAGGGTATGGCATATATCCAAATAGTGGTACTGGAACTGGTACCTATCCAGGCAGCGATACTAGTGCTGGAGGCTATCCAGAAAGTGCTATTGGTACTAGAACTTATCCGGAGAGTGGTACTGGACCAGCTGGTTACCCTGGTCGTGGTACTGATACCTATCCAGATAGTGATAGTGGAACAGGAACCTATCCAGATAGTGGCACAAGAGCAGGGGCAAATCCAGGTAGTGGAAAAGAAACAAGAACCGATTCTGAAACTGGGACATACCCTGACATCAATGCAAGAACTAACCAAAATAGTGGCACTAGAACTGGAGCCTACCCAGACCAGGATGCTGGTACAAAAGTCAATCCTAATAGTGGTACAGGTTTTAGCGCATATCCAAGTAGTGGTACTGGAACTGGTACCTATCCAGGCAGCGATACTACTGCTGGAGGCTATCCAGAACGTACTGTTGGTACTAGAACTTATCCAGAGAGTGGTACTGGAACAGCTGGTTACCCTGGTCGTGGTACTGATACTGGAATATATCCAGAGAGTGGTACTGGAACCGGAGCCTATCCAGATAGTGATAGTGGAACCGGAACCTATCCAGATAGTGGCACAAGTACAGGGCCATATCCAGGTAGTAGAAAAGAAACAAGAACCGATTCTGAAACCGGGACATACCCAGACATCAATGCAAGAACTAACCAAAATAGTGGGACTAGAGCTGGGGCCTACCCAGGCCGGCATTCTGGTACAATTGTCAATCCCAACAGTGGTACAGGGTATGGCGCATATCCAAATAGGGGTACAGGAACTGGGGCCTACCCAGGCCGGAATACTGGTACAATAATGAATCCAAACAGTGGTACAGGGTATGGCGCATATCCTAGTAGTGGTGCTGGAACTGGTACCTCTCCAGCCAGCGATACTAGTGCTAGAGGCCATCCAGAACGTGCTGATGGTACTAGAACTTATCCAGAGAGTGGTACTGGAGAAGCTGGTTACCCTGGTCGAGGTACTGATACCGGAATATATCCAGAGAGTGGTACTGGAACCGGAGCCTATCCAGATAGTGACAGTGGAACCGGAACCTATCCAGATAAGGACACAAGAACAGGGGCATATCCAGGTAGTGGCAAAGAAACAGGAACCGATTCTGAAACTGGGACATACCCAGACATCAATGCAAAAACTAACCAAAATACTAGGACTAGAACTGGGGCCTACCCAGGTCGGAATACTGGTACAATAGTCAATCCCAACAGTGGTACAGGGTACGGCGCATATCCAAATAGGGGTACTGGAACTGGTACCTATCCAGGCAGCAATACTAGTGCTGGAGGCTATCCAGAAAGTGCTATTGGTACTAGAACTTATCCAGACAGTGGTACTGGAGCAGCTGGTTACCCTGGTCGTGGTACTGATACCGGAATAAATCCAGAGAGTGGTACTGGAACCGGAGCCTATCCAGATGGTGATGGTGGAACCGGAACCTATCCAGGTAGTGGCACAAGTACAGGGCCATATCCAGGTAGTGGCAAAGAAACAGGAACCGATTCTGAAACTGGGACATACCCAGACATCAATGCAAAAACTAACCAAAATAGTGGCACTAGAACTGGGGCCTACCCAGGTCGGAATACTGGTTCAATAGTCAATCCCAACAGTGGTTCAGGGTATGGAGCATATCCAAATAGTGGTACTGGAACTGGTACCTATCCAGGCAGCGATACTAGTGCTGGAGGCTATCCAGAAAGTGCTATTGGTACTCGAACTTATCCGGAGAGTGGTACTGGACCAGCTGGTTACCCTGGTCGTGGTACTGATACCGGAATATATCCAGAGAGTGGTACTGGAACCGGAGCCTATCCAGATAGTGATAGTGGAACAGGAACCTATCCAGATAGTGGCACAAGAACAGGAGCAAATCCAGGTAGTGGAAAAGAAACAAGAACCGATTCTGAAACTGGGACATACCCAGACATCAATGCAAGAACTAACCAAAATAGTGGCACTAGAACTGGGGCCTACCCAGACCAGGATACTGGTACAAAAGTCAATCCTAATAGTGGTACAGGTTTTAGCGCATATCCAAGTAGTGGTACTGGAACTGGTACCTATCCAGGCAGCGATACTACTGCTGGAGGCTATCCAGAACGTACTGTTGGTACTAGAACTTATCAAAAGAGTGGTACTGGAACAGCTGGTTACCCTGGTCGTGGTACTGATACCGGAATATATCCAGAGAGTGGTACTGGAACCGGAGCCTATCCAGATAGTGATAGTGGCACAAGTACAGGGCCATATCCAGGTAGTAGAAAAGAAACAAGAACCGATTCTGAAACCAGAAAATACCCAGACATCAATGCAAGAACTAACCAAAATAGTGGGACTAGAGCTGGGGCTTACCCAGGCCGGCATACTGGTACAATCGTCAATCCCAACAGTGGTACAGGGTATGGAGCATATCCAAATAAGGGTACAGGAACTGGGGCCTACCCAGGCCGGAATACTGGTACAATAATGAATCCCAACAGTGGTACAGGGTATGGCGCATATCCAAGTAGTGGTGCTGGAACTGGTACCTCTCCAGCCAGCGATACTAGTGCTAGAGGCTATCCAGAACGTGCTGATGGTACTAGAACTTATCCAGAGAGTGGTACTGGAACAGCTGGTTACCCTGGTCGTGGTACTGATACCGGAATATATCCAGAGAGTGGTACTGGAACCGGAGCCTATCCAGATAGTGATAGTGGAACAGGAACCTATCCAGATAGTGGCACAAGAACAGGGGCAAATCCAGGTAGTGGAAAAGAAACAAGAACCGATTCTGAAACTGGGACATACCCAGACATCAATGCAAGAACTAACCAAAATAGTGGCACTAGAACTGGGGCCTTCCCAGACCAGGATACTGGTACAAAAGTCAATCCCAATAGTGGTACAGGTTTTAGCGCATATCCAAGTAGTGGTACTGGAACTGGTACCTATCCAGGCAGCGATACTACTGCTGGAGGCTATCCAGAACGTACTGTTGGTACTAGAACTTATCCAAAGAGTGGTACTGGAACAGCTGGTTACCCTGGTCGTGGTACTGATACCGGAATATATCCAGAGAGTGGTACTGGAACCGGAGCCTATCCAGATAGTGATAGTGGAACCGGAACCTATCCAGATAGTGGCACAAGTACAGGGCCATATCCAGGTAATAGAAAAGAAACAAGAAACGATTCTGAAACCGGGACATACCCAGACATCAATGCAAGAACAAACCAAAATAGTGGGACTAGAGCTGGGGCCTACCCAGGCCGGCATACTGGTACAATAGTTAATCCCAACAGTGGTACAGGGTATGGCGCATATCCAAATAGGGGTACAGGAACTGGGGCCTACCCAGGCCGGAATACTGGTACAATAATGAATCCAAACAGTGGTACAGGGTATGGCGCATATCCAAGTAGTGGTGCTGGAACTGGTACCTCTCCAGCCAGCGATACTAGTGCTAGAGGCTATCCAGAACGTGCTGATGGTACTAGAACTTATCCAGAGAGTGGTACTGGAGCAGCTGGTTACCCTGGTCGTGGTACTGATAGCGGAATATATCCAGAGAGTGGTACTGAAACCGGAGCCTATCCAGATAGTTATAGTGGAACCAGAACCTATCCAGATAGTGACACAAGTACAGGGGCATATCCAGGTAGTGGCAAAGAAACAGGAACCGATTCTGAAACTGGGACATACCCAGACATCAATGCAAAAACTAACCAAAATACTGGCACTAGAACTGGGGCCTACCCAGGTCGGAATACTGGTACAATAGTCAATCCCAAAAGTGGTACAGGGTACGGCGCATATCCAAATAGTGGTACTGGAACTGGTACCTATCCAGGCAGCAATACTAGTGCTGGAGGCTATCCAGAAAGTGCTATTGGTACTAGAACTTATCCAGACAGTGGTACTGGAGCAGCTGGTTACCCTGGTCGTGGTACTGATACCGGAATATATCCAGAGAGTGGTACTGGAACCGGAGCCTATCCAGATGGTGATGGTGGAACCGGAACCTATCCAGGTAGTGGCACAAGAACAAAGGCATATCCAGGTAGTGGAAAAGAAACAGGAACCGATTCTGAAACTGGGACATACCCAGACATCAATACAAGAACTAACCAAAATAGTGGCACTAAAACTGGGGTCTACCCAGGTCGGAATACTGGTACAGTAGTCAATCCCAACAGTGGTACAGGTTTTAGTGCATATCCAAGTAGTGGTACTGGAACTGGTACCTATCCAGGCAGCGATACTAGTGCTGGAGGCTATCCAGAACGTACTGTTGGTACTAGAACTTATCCAGACAGTGGTACTGGAACAGCTGGTTACCCTGGTCGTGGTACTGATACCGGAATATATCCAGAGAGTGGTACTGGAACCGGAGCCTATCCAGATAGTGATAATGGAACCGGAACCTATCCAGATAGTGACACAAGAACAGGGCCATATCCAGGTAGTGGCAAAGAAACAGGAACCGATTCTGAAACGGGGACATACCCAGACATCAATGCAAGAACTAACCAAAATAGTGACACTAAAACTGGGGCCTACCCAGGTCGGAATACTGGTACAGTAGTCAATCCCAACAGTGGTACAGGGTATGGCGCATATCCAAGTAGTGGTACTGGAACTGGTACCTATCCAGGCAGCGATACTACTGCTGGAGGCTATCCAGAACGTACTGTTGGTACTAGAACTTATCCAGAGAGTGGTACTGGAACAGCTGGTTACCCTGGTCGTGGTACTGATACCGGAATATATCCAGAGGGTGGTACTGGAACCGGAGCCTATCCAGATAGTGATAGTGGAACCGGAACCTATCCAGATAGTGGCACAAGTACAGGGCCATATCCAGGTAGTGGAAAAGAAACAGGAACCGATTCTGAAACCGGGACATACCCAGACATCATTGCAAGAACTAACCAAAATAGTGGGACTAGAGCTAGGGCCTACCCAGGCCGTCATACTGGTACAATAGTCAATCCCAACAGTGGTACAGGGTATAGCGCATATCCAAATAGTGCTACAGGAACTGGGGCCTACCCTGGCCGGAATACTGGTACAATAATGAATCCAAGCAGTGGTACAGGGTATGGCGCATATCCAAGTAGTGGTGCTGGAACTGGTACCTCTCCAGCCAGCGATACTAGTGCTAGAGGCTATCCAGAACGTGCTGATGGTACTAGAACTTATCCAGAGAGTGGTACTAGAGCAGTTGGTTACCCTGATCGTGGTACTGATACCGGAATATATCCAGAGAGTGGTACTGGAACAGGAGCCTATCCAGATAGTGATAATGGAACCGGAACCTATCCAGATAGTGACACAAGAACAGGGGCATATCCAGGTAGTGGCAAAAAAACAGGAACCGATTCTGAAACTGGGACATACCCAGATATCAATGCAAGAACTAACCAAAATACTGGCACTAGAACTGGGGCCTACCCAGGTCGGAATACTGGTACAATAGTCAATCCCAACAGTGGTACAGGGTATAGCGCATATCCAAATAGTGGTACTGGAACTGGTACCTATCCAGGCAGCGATACTAGTGCTGGAGACTATCCAGAAAGTGCTATTGGTACTAGAACTTTTCCGGAGAGTGGTACTGGACCAGCTGGTTACCCTGGTCGTGGTACTGATACCGGAATATATCCAGAGAGTGGTACTGGAACCGGAGTCTATCCAGATAGTGATAGTGGAACCGGAACCTTTCCAGATAGTGACACAAGAACAGGGGCATATCCAGGTAGTGGCAAAGAAACAGGAACCGATTCTGAAACTGGGACATACCCAGACATCAATGCAAGAACTAACCAAAATAGTGGCACTAGAACTGGGGCCTACCCAGGTCGGAATACTGGTACAATAGTCAATCCCAATAGTGGTACAGGGTATGGCGCATATCCAAATAGTGGTACTGAAACTGGTACCTATCCAGCCAACGATACTAGTGCTGGAGGCTATCCAGAAAGTGCTATTGGTACTAGAACTTATCCAGAGAGTGGTACTGGGCCAGCTGGTTACCCTGGTCGTGGTACTGATACCGGAATATATCCAGAGAGTGGTACTGCAACCGGAGCCTATCCAGATAGTGATAGTGGAACAGGAACCTATCCAGATAGTGGCACAAGAACAGGGGCATATCCAGGTAGTGGCAAAAAAACAGGAACCGATTCTGAAACTGGGACATACCCAGACATCAATGCAAGAACTAACCAAAATACTGGCATTAGAACTGGGGCCTACCCAGGTCGGAATACTGGTACAATAGTCAATCCCAACAGTGGTACAGGGTATGGCGCATATCCAAATAGTGGTACTGGAACTGGTACCTATCCAGGCAGAGATACTAGTGCTGGAGGCTATCCAGAAAGTGCTATTGGTACTAGAACTTATCCAGAGAGTGGTACTGGACCAGCTGGTTACCCTGGTCGTGGTACTGATACCGGAATATATCCAGAGAGTGGTAATGGAACCGGAGCCTATCCAGATAGTGATAGTGGAACAGGAACCTATCCAGATAGTGACACAAGAACAGGGGCATATCCAGGTAGTGGAAAAGAAACAGGAACCGATTCTGAAACTGGGACATACCCAGACATCATTGCAAGAACTAACCAAAATAGTGGCACTAGAACTGGGGCCTACCCAGGCCGTCATACTGGTACAATAGTCAATCCCAACAGTGGTACAGGGTATAGCGCATATCCAAATAGTGGTACAGGAACTGGGGCCTACCCAGGCCGGAATACTGGTACAATAATGAATCCAAGCAGTGGTACAGGGTATGGCGCATATCCAAGTAGTGGTGCTGGAACTGGTACCTCTCCAGCTAGCGATACTAGTGCTAGAGGCTATCCAGAACGTGCTGATGGTACTAGAACTTATCCGGAGAGTGGTACTGGACAAGCTGGTTACCCTGGTCGTGGTACTGATACCGGAATATATCCAGAGAGTGGTACTGGAACCGGAGCCTATCCAGATAGTGATAGTGGAACCGGCACTTATCCAGATAGTGACACAAGAACAGGGCCATATCCAGGTAGTGGAAAAGAAACAGGTACAGATTCTAAAACTGGGACATACCCAGACATCAATGCAAGAACTAACCAAAATAGTGGCACTAGAACTGGGGCCTACCCAGACCGGAATACTGGTACAAAAGTCAATCCCAATAGTGGTACAGGTTTTAGCGCATATCCAAGTAGTGGTACTGGAACTGGTACCTATCCAGGCAGCGATACTACTGCTGGAGGCTATCCAGAACGTACTGTTGGTACTAGAACTTATCCAGAGAGTGGTACTGGAACAGCTGGTTACCCTGGTCATGGTACTGATACCGGAATATATCCAGAGAGTGGTACTGGAACCGGAGCCTATCCAGATAGTGATAGTGGAATCGGAACCTATCCAGATAGTGGTACAAGAACAGATAGTGGCACAAGAACAGGTAGTGGAAAAGGAACAGGAACCGATTCTGAAACTGGGACATACCCAGACATCAATGCAAAAACTAACCAAAATAGTGGCACTAGAACTTTGGCCTACCCAGACCGGGATACTGGTACAATAATTAAACCCAACGGTGATACAGGAGCATATCCAGATACTGTTACTGAAACCCTAGATTATCCAGGTAGTGACAGTGGAAAAACAACCTATCCAGAGAGTGGCACTGAAAGTGGAGTGTATCCAGGTCGTGGTAGAGGAACAGGGATTAGTCCGGGAAGTGATGTTGGAACTAAAAAATACCCAGATATTGTTAAAGGAACTGGATATTCGAAAATTGGCATTAGAAATGAAGACTACCCAATACCTGGTACGGGAACTGGAGCTTATCCAAGTAGTGGTACGGGAAGTATTCCAGGCAGCAATACTGGAACAGGTGCAGGAGTATATCCAGAGACGGGAACTGGAACAGCATCTTCTTCTGAGAGTAGCAATGGAACCGGGGCATATCCAAATAGTGATGGGAGAACTGAAACGAATACAGATAGTGGTACTGTAAACGGAGCATATCCAACTATTGGGCCTGGTGCTAGTAAAACAGATGCTTCATCTGCTTTACCAGAAACTGGTGCAGGGCAAGCACAACCGGTATCGCCAGGTACTACAAAAACCGGAGCAAATCCAACTCTTGCTACTGAAACCCGAGAGGAAAGTGGGTATGGTGCTAGTAGAACAGATGCTTCATCCTCTTTACCAGACGGTGGTGCAAGGCTACCACAAACGGTAATGCCAAGTGTTGTACCTCAAGTCAATGAAGGTAAGTTGTTTTTTTGGGTTTTTTTAAAACATACATGCATTTAATATGAATTATGCAGACATAGGGAAAGATTATGTCTCTTTGAGTTTATTTCATCACCTTGTTTGCTTTAACCCTCCCAAAACGGACTTTCTTCAATCCTTGCCAAGATATTTCAAATATTTTTTGTTTTATTCACTAAAAAATACCCACACAAATTGTTCACGGGATTGTTACACAGTCTATTTTAAATGTATTGAAATTGAGGAATATAATTATTTCAATAGAGAAATATTTTCTGGGTATGTCCCTTAATAAGTCGTACGTACACTTAATAAGGCGTTCGTACGCCTTAGTAAACCATAAGGCGTACGTACGACTTAATAAGGCGTACGTACGGGTTTGGAACATTTTTTTAAAATGCAACATGTCCCTTAAACAGCTTCGTAGAATAGTGAGGTAATTAGGTGAATAAATAGCGAATCGCTAATTACCTTTAGTCGGCACATTTGCATTAGATAATACATCTACGTCGTCGATCAAACGAAACCCTTTTAAAATTTTGATATGAAACTTTGTTGTTAACAACCCATTTCCGTTATGTTGTGCTTTTCTAGAAAACCAATGTCCAGACAGCTGTCTTTTAACTGACAATAAAGTTTGTGGTACAGATGGAATAACATACGTTTCAGAATGCATTCTAAAAGTTGTAGCATGTAGACAGAACTCAAATACAAGGGTGAAGTATACAGGACCTTGCGAAGAAAAGCTTGCTCCAAAAATGCCTAGTTCGCCAACACAAGATGAAAATGGAGGAGATAACACTGGTATGATAATGGTCTATGTATACGTAATAATAATAATAATAATAATAATAATAATAATAACAATACAAATAAAACTAACGAAGATAATGATGATGATAATGATGAGGATGATGATGTTGATTTGTTTTCAAGTTATTTGTTCTTTTTAATAGTGTAATAAAAATAGCAATAGCAACATTAAAAATCCTAATAACAATAACAATAATAAAAACAATAATAATAATAATAATAATAATAAATTTAACAACACAAGTGCGTATACTGCGAAATTTAATATTTGTTAATAATCATTTTTCTTCGCTGATGACCCATCGATTGGTTTCCAGACCTTCCTGAGGTTGGTTCCTACGAGCACCTTCGGCACTATTCCTATTGATCTCTCTGATATCCGTACTCATCTCAGCTCTATGAAGCAGCATAAGGCCTCAGGATGGGACCCTCTTAGTAACATTGTCCTTAGGTCATGTTCCGACTCTTTTTTTCTTCATATTGGAAACGCTCCAACATTGTGCCTATTCATAAGAAAGGACCTACGGACGATGTTAATAACTACCGACCTGTCTCTCTTCTGCCTACCGTTTCCAAAGTTTTCGAACGTATCGTATTTAACTCAATTTATTATCACATTGCTCCTTACATTGCTGATCTGCAACATGGCTTTATGTCAGGTAGGTCCTGTGAGACCAACCTTGCGTGTCTCCTTGCACCAGCCTAAGAAGCTATAAAAAGTGTAAGAAGCAATGTGACATAATTTATACAGATTTTTCACGTGCATTTGACAGAGTTTTGCATGCCCTGTTACTTCGCAAATTACAAAATGTTGGCTTTCGTTGTAGTTTACTTTCATGGTTCACTCCTTAATTGAATGGTAGGCAGCAGAGGGTCGTCTTCGAGGGTTCATCATCGGAGTGGCATAACGTCACTTCAGGTGTCCCTCAAGGTTCCATCCTTCATTATCTACATCAATGATCTTACTCCTCTTTTCAAACACTCTAAGAGCCTCCTCTATGCTGACGATCTTAAACTCTATAAAACTATTTCTTCGCTCGAGGATGCTCGCGGGCTTCAGGAGGATCTGGACACGTTGTACCGTTGGGCGTCAGCGTCTGTATGATACTACATCCAGTTAAGTGTAAGGTTTTATCAATTATATTGAAAAAGTATCCTCTTGAATTTGACTATAAAATCAATTGCAATGCACTCGAAAAAGTAGTTTATCATGAAGATCTTGGTATATTTCTTGATTCAAGGTTAAAGTTTACATATCATATTAATTTAATTACGGCGAAGGCCAACAGAGTCTTGGGAATGATGTGGTGCAATTGCAGATCTTTTGATATTCCTACTAAGCGCTTTCCTTATCTCACACTGGTTAGACCATCTTTAGATTTCTGTTCTGTCATTTTTAATTCAATATCTAAAATTAACTCTAAACGAATCGACAGGATACTCTTTATGTTCTTACACGTCATCAGTCCTGAAACATTTGGCCCTCATCGTAATAACAATAACATAATCATTTTCGAAGATGCCATCATTGACTCGGTGGTCAATAAAAAGTTAAATGTTACATGTCCGTCTTCTAAACGTATGTACCTTGATCTTTTGTTCTTGTTTAAATGTGTGAATTTGTTTGATTGTACCCTCATCTCGTATTTCTTACGTAAAGTCCCAGGTCGTCGTTTTCGTGAACGTGATTTATTTTCTGTTCAGTTTTATCGTGTTAATGGCTGTAAAAGTGGTTTTATTTCACGATTATCTAGTTTGTATAATGATTTTGTTACAAAATGTCATGAAGTTGATATCTTTTCTAATTCTTTAAATATATTTAAATGTCACCTTAATAATTATATTTCTCATTAGTGCTGTGTGTTTTAAGTGTAATTTGTAAATATCTTTAGTGTTGTTTAAACTTAATTTTAATTGTAATTTATATAATTTTCAGTAATATACATATTTATAGTAATTATAGAAATATTAATTATAATCATTGCAATAATAATAATAATAATAATCTTTTTATATCATGTGATTTTATAGTATTGATAACATTTTTGATGTTTATTGCAATTTTCGCAAGTGGGAACGAAGAGTTCCTGTTGGACGATTGTTATAAAATAAATATAATTTAAAAAATAATAATAATAATAATATTAATGTTATAATAACAATAATAATAATAATAATAATAATGATGATGATGATGATGATGATGATGATGATGATGATGATGATGATGATGATGATGATGACGATGATGATGATGATGATGACGATGATGAGGATGATGAGGGTGATGATGATGATGAGGATACTGGTGTTGATTTGTTTTCAATTTACTAGTTCTTTTTAGTGTTTAGTTCATATTTATTTTTAGGTTATATATTGTATTTCTTTCTATGTATTGAGGGCCACAAGCTATTAGTTACGACATGATGTACCACTCTCAGAAATCATTGTTGGAATTAAAAATCCTGTCCATTTCAATTATAAAAATCACTGATCATGCAACTCAAGTCTCCCGTTCGATCAATTAGCAAATTCGATCAGTTTCACACTTGTCACAATACTGTCTGTGTTCTTGCTCTCTTTAGAATTGATTTTTGCAACGCCTTTCCTAAAAGTGTAAATAAGAAAGATATAATAAAGACTGCAAAATAGATCTGCCCGCCTTATTTATTCTCTTCTCAACTCTTGTTAAGTTTTCCACTCCTGAAAAATAGTGTACGCTTGTGCTGGCCCCCTTTTTTTTTTTTTTTTTTTTTTTTTTTTTTTGCAATCCCATTTAGATCTTCCAGTTTCTTAGCAAAACCCCCACTCTTGGGATTGCCTCTGCTTGTACAGCCTTCGTATAAGAAATCGAGTGACCAAGTTTTTTTCTACTACTACTCCGTATCTCTAGATGCTCTTCTCCCTCACACCTGGAATTCCACAACACTTCTTAGGGCTAACATTAAAAAAATAATTTACTTATTACGTCCCCGTCTGACTAACTCTGACATCATTGTTTCGCAAGGCCATGATCCCTAGTTGAAAGGTACTTTTATATAGATTATTTTACTGTTATCATTGTTAAACAAATAATAAATAACAATATTAGTAAGCTTAATGATAATATTAATAATAATAATTACATTTTTGCCAATTAATACCTTAGTAGTCACAAAGTACGTTAAAAGTGCATTTCTTTCGACAATAAACTAAATTATCAAGGGCCACATAATTGTCAGATTAAGCTTGTTTTTAGAAGTAAACAAATGAGTATGAATGTTTATATCTCTATGCATTATGTAGCAACACGTAAAGTATGCGCAGACAGTTGCCCACTATTACCACCCAGTGCTAGAGTGTGCGGATCTGACGGCAACAACTATCCCTCTACCTGTGTTTTAGAAGTATTCGCCTGTAAGCTAAACATTATAGAACTAACCGTGGCTTATAACGGACCATGTGCTAGACGTTCACGACCTACGTTTACTTCTGCTCGTCTGAACAATGGTAAGTTATCAACTTTACATTTTACTATATGCAATTTCATAATATGCTCAATAGGCCTAATTATTTTGCAAATGTGTATATTCACCAGAATTTCTTATAATTACTTATTGTTATATTTGAAATTTTAAAAAATACTGTATTTATTTATTTATTTATTGTTTGTTTTGTTTTGCTTTGCTTTGCTTTGCTTTGCTTTGCTTTGCTTTGCTTCGTTTGTTTGTTTGTTTGTTTAGTTAGTTATTTATTCATTTATTCATCAATCGTACAATAGCAGCTCACAGAGCTGAATTGGAGTACCAATTACATTTCCGTCACATTAAAAACACTAGAAAATAAATTTAAATCTGTCAAGAATATAGAGTGGGAAATATTAAAGATACGAATTAAACAAAAAAATGATTATCAATATAATAACAATCATTTAAAAAATTAATTAATTTGCTTAAAAATCGACCTATAGGTCAGGGAACAAGCACTAAGTACGATGGTAGCAGACAAGCTGGTCAACGGACAGGTGATCCGAGCCAGGATGGCCAAGGACGATCAACCGATGTCCAAGGAACGAGAACCAGCAGTACTCAAACTGAATTGCAAAGGGGTGAAAGTCAGAGAAATAGGGAACCTGACATTACGAGTGGGAGACTAGGTCAACCAACAGCAGCAGGACGCGAAACACAAAAAGGTAAATACGACTGTGTTTTTGAAAGTATCTAATAGTGCTCCTAATGAAAACTACGTTTAAAAGAAGAGACAACTTTTAACAGCGGCGTAGTAAAAAGGAATATGATTATGGCACCTCTAAGTGGGCGGAAATGAGGGGCCGATCGAGATAATACAACCCTAGGAGTTCCGAAACTTTTGTGTTCTAGACGCCCGAAAATAATACCTAAGGCGTTTTGGGCGATCATTTTTTTTCTTTTTATTTATTTATTTTTTATTTATTTTTTTTTTTTTTCTTCTTTTTTAATGGGGTGGTTCCCCCATTAAATCCGCCCCCGGAAAAGGCACTCTCGGACTTAAATTTGAATGTAGTTTTCTTTTTTATTACACTTTCTTTTTACATAAATTAGAACAATGTAGAGGCCCAGGCCAGTTGGGGACCCCTTGAATAGAAATATACACAGTAATTCATAATTACTCCTCTACATAATATTGCGGGCGCGCTTCTTTTTTTTCTTCCAAAAAATATTATTAATTATAATTTTTAGGTTTATTTATGAATGAGCCCCTAATAGCCATAGGCCCGAGTGTTTTGCACTGCCCATCTTCACGCCACTGCTTTTTAATCGCTAAAATACTTTTTTTTAAAGACAAGAGTTCCTAGTTTTATTTTGTAATTGCCTCCGATGAACTTTTATAATTTTAAAACAAAAGCCAGTCAATAATTTAAGATGGGAGTTGAAGTATAATTATTCCTCTAAATACAACCTTGCTAGAGCTCTCTGACCAAAGATCCAAGATAAATTCAAACTAATTTAAAGAATAGCTTACCAAACGAAAGTAAAATGGATGGATGACACAGCGCGTGTACTAATAATATCGCGTACCAATGGCAAATATCAACGGTCAATATCACGGTAGTGTAGTGAAAAGTATAAGTTGCGTGTACAGGATAGGAAAATTAAGATGAAGGTAGAATGATGACGTCATGATTAACTAATATGGCCAAAGAAATGACTTATCAAAAACAATATGGATGAATGATGCAGCACATGAACCGATTCTTAATATCGCGTACCAATGACAAATAGGCCTAATTAAATACAGTAATACATTAATAATAATGTTGATAATGTTAATGTTAATAGTAATATTAATGTGAATAATAATAAGTAATAATAATAATAATAATAATAATAATAATAATAATAATAATAATAATAATAATAATAATCAAATGATGTTGAAAATGAATTTCTCACAATAATGATAATAATAATATTGATATTATTAAAAATTATGATGAGGATGATCACTTGATAAAGATGATAATAACGATGATGATGATGATGATGATGATGATGATGATGATGATGATGATGATGATGATGATGATGATGATGATGATGATGAAGAAGAAGAAGATTAGGCTACTATGGTTACTGATACAACCAACAACTACGTCTTAATTGTTGTTGCTTTCGAAACAAGCCCACCAGTGAAATGTAAGTTTGTCCGAGACCTTTCAGAGCATCGTAACCGGTCTGCGGAAGTGATAGTAAGACTTACCGGTCAAAATGTGTATTGAAGAAAAGGGCTTGTAAAACAGGGAGAGAGATTGTGATGCCTACTACACAAGGGAAGGTGCAAACGATCATCTACTTCAGAACCGACATCTGAACTTGCAACAGTTGTGACTGAATCGACGAAAACAAAACTTAATAAGCCTAAAGGTCGACTTGTTTACGTCAACAGCGCCCCCGTCCGTTTGGATGGCCAATTGCAAGCAGGCCCTGGGATATCCAAAAACCAAAAGACACTCACGCAGCATACCGTATTAATAATAATTGATAATAGCAAGGATAGTAACACATTCCATGTTAATATTTTCTAAAATCTAACTACACCCAGAACGAACCAAAGGATACGGTAGTTTCCCGTTTATTTGATAGGCCTATTTCTGCAATGTTTTTCTGTTTTTGCCTAAAAAAAGACCAAAAATTATAATGAAATGATGGTAAAAACAGCATTGTTTCTACGTAACCATTATTTTATTATTTTTATATTATACTAAAAAATGTATTTCTTCGGAAATTCTGTCTTGTCGTCAAATGCTTACAAGAAGGGGCGTATCAAAATTATCTCGGTTATTTGTCATGCATTAAGGACTAGTGATGTCCAACTACGTATGGGCAAGAGTGCGAGGAATTAGTTTGCGAGGAATGGATTTGAATTCCCAAACGGAGCCTCAATGGCCCAGTTGGGAAAGGCGTCTTCCTATAAAACAGGAGGTCCCCATGGAGTAGATATCCTAGTTGAGGCAACTTTTTTCACTCTCACAGATTCCTCTTCTTTAACGTTCACAGAATTGTACTTGGCCTACTAAATACTATCCTATCCGTATTTATTCGAATAAGCGACCCAGAGCATTTATTGTTGAGAGAGTTTTTGAGGGAGGCGTTTATTTGAGGCAGGGGTTTATTTATTACCTTCGCAAAGACGATATATTTACATCGGATTTCCATTGTATGTCTGTGTGTGTGTGTGTGTGTGTGTGTGTGTGTGTGTGTGTTTGTATGTTAGTTAACAACTTCCTGTCTACTATCATTATATTTGTAAATGGTCAGATTTTCACAGATGATTTCATTGAATGAAGATTCCTTTTTATTTTGGTTACGACCCGGAATTGGGTATGGGGACCATTTAAAAAAAAATAGCTCACACTAGATACCTGAAAAACTGATTTGGGTGTGAATGTGGGGTGGGGGGGTGGTCATTTAAAGTGCTACATTCCAGACATAAATATCTCAAAAGAAAACTGATTTACCACTGATGACCAATTAAAGGGAACTTTCTAGACAGGTATTAAAACTTTTAAATGCATCTAAAAATCTTTCTAGAATTGTTCGTCATGGCCAAGGTAAAAAGTATGCAATTTTGGTGGCGCTCCGGAGTAGAGACATGAGACGTATTGATCCCAACCCGGTTTGAAATGTAATTCTACTGGCGTTAACTTAAGGCGAATAAAGGCATATTATTATTTTCAATAACAGTTTTAAACAATTAATATAAAATATACAATATAGACCTACAATAATACACATATATTATCTTGTTTCCATATTCTTTGACATCAGTTTATGTATTATTATTATTATTATTATCGATATTTATACTATTATAATTCTCTCCCTAGGTCTATCATCCAAGAGGAAAAGGTGTGTTGAAAGATGTCCAAACGAAAACTCGAATTCAAAAGTATGTGGTACTGATGGAAGAACATACTCGTCCGAGTGTAGACTGAAAGCTATCGGCTGTAGGCGTAACGACCCAGACCTATGTGTTGCTTACACGGGGAAGTGCGTGACAAACACGAATCTCGAAAAGGGGCGTCTTCCTGATAACCCACTTTCAAGATCAGAAAACCAAGGATGATTAAACAAATGACGATGTGTATATTTTCTTGCTATATTTGAAAAATATACGATTTTGTTTGTAAAAGGGTCATTATTGATGATAAAACAATGTGATTGTTTTCGATATTACACCAGTATGTCCAGCGCCATGCACGTGACATTTACAATAATTGGACCTATATGAATAAGCATAAGCGATATATTATGTTTTAATACATAATGAGAGCGTACAAGAGCCATGCATACATGTATAGCTTCAAGAAATCCAATATTTTACTTACATATTATTTCTAAAATGAGACAGATATCGTTTAACTTCTTAAAAGTTCCAAACAGATCCAAATTTACCCATTGACTAAAGTCAGTCTATCAGTAAAAAAAATATGTGAACACTTTACTGTTAATGATTAATCGCCATTAAATGCCCAAATATTTTTGAATTGTTTCTGTTTTGTGTGTGTGTGGGTGTGTGTGTGAGGGGCGGTGGGGGTATGTGTGTGGGTGGTGTGGGTGCGTGTGTGTGTTTCATTGTTGAGGAAATCAATAGTAAAATTAATAGTAAGCAATTAGTAGAGCTCCGCATAGAGTACACTATAGGAAAATTATTGTTCGAATTTTAGATTTAATGCTTGAAAAAAATTCCTGAGGGCCTGCAAGGCCCGAAGGAAATTTTTGAATGCTTTAAATCTAACCTAAGTATAATAATTTTCCGTTTAGTGTACGATGCATGCTCTACTAATTGCTTTATAAGTCAATCGCTGTCTTTTAATTTTAGTTTTTCTATAACCAACTGTTGTAGCAGCTATCGTTGCTATGAATATTTAGCTGTGCGTATGCTGATTTTTGCTCCTGCAGTACGCGTTCTACACACATCAGCAGTACAAGTACGGATACGATGAATAACTATTGGTTAGAAAGAACTTGTTTGTAATGCTATTATATTGATAAACTTTCGTCAAAGAAATAAACATTTCAGCATTCGAGAGGGAATAAAGTCACTGACGTTCTTTTTGGTCGGTGCATGCAGAGGTAAATTCGTGCGATGATTTCATAACTAGGCCAGGCTACGGCCTATGCCTAGTAATAGTAGGAGGAGGAGGCCCGGGCGGCCTCCTGCCTGGTCGTAGGCCTACATCTAAATTTGTTCCTTGAGTCTTTAAAATAGGTCTAAGCCTACAATATTCCTATTAAACGATCAGCTTGTTGTGTTTATGAGGGTCCATTGATTCAATCAATTCCTTAATTGTTCATACTTAATATTGAATTTGAAGTAACTTTCTTCGGGTTCTAATTAAGCTTGTTTTACAAAAGTAATTTTCCATTACAATTCAATTTTTATCGAAGTGCGCGATGTATTCGCGGTGACGAAAAAAATAAGGAGTTTTTTTTGCACACGAACCTAAAAAGTGGACGCTGGGGAATAGGCAAATAACATTGAGAGCTACGGTGATGACGTCACGATTGACTTACAATTATAATTAAGGGAAAGATTCAATCAACCAATCCAGTAATCAATTAATTAATCCGTCATCTAGACTGTCAGTTTATCAACCAACTATCCAATCATTTAACAAAACAACCAATATATTAATAAATTAACCAACCAATTAATCAATAAACTAATCAATAAATTAATAATCAAATGGTTAATCATTCACTCGAAAAAAAAATCAATCAATCAACCAATAAATCGATATATCCTTTTATTTATCTATCCATCAGTCATTCAATCAATTAATCAATCATTAACCAATCAACTATTTATTAAATAAATTAAAAGATCAATTAATCATCTTATTAATAAATAAATCAATCAATCCATCTATTTGTTACAATAACAATCAGTCAATTAACTACATCAAACCATCAATGCACACATCACAGTTTCATTTTTAAATAGACGTAAAACTTTCACCTTTTCAATAACTTTAATTTGTATAAATGCTTCACTCACTGAATTCATATGAAGTTAAGCAGAAACAAGTGCACCATAGGTAATTATAATTAATACCGATGTGCATTGTTTAATTAGAATGAATAAAATTGACTGTGTATGCCTACTTTGACAATGTTTTCTGAATCACATTGTACTCTCTAGTAAAAAATTGCATTTACGAGAGCAGTGAACAACATATGGTTGTTTTGAAAATGGGAAATGAGAAAGGAACCACTAATGAGGATCCATCAGCTACCGAAAGACGTTAAATGCATAATCAACGCACAGTATGTGGTACTGATGGAAGAACATAATAATATATTAGTATAGGCAATATATTATGTATCTTGTCTGAATACTGTAGTCTCGAGTAGAGCATGTACGAAAGCAGTGTGAAAATTAGAAGTAGAATAGAGGAGGTACAGGGCCAAAAATAATAAGTGATTGCGATAAGAGTCGCTAAGAGTTGTGGGGTCTTAAAGCCGGCAAATGCATCCAGTAGGTTCCAAGAGCAGACCTCCAGTGGGGGTTTGAAGTCAAGGTAGTTGAAGTAATTATATAAGGCCTTATACGTAGAGGCTTAATTTATATAGAGACTAGATCCTGAGAAAAATGCATTGCCCAGGAACTGCCCTCGCCAGCCCATCCTCTACACGCTGGCTGATTCCGACAATTGAAGAAAATTGTATGAGAATAAAATGTGAGAAATAGAAAGTTTGGCCGTTTGGTTGAATAGTTATTTTCCACGTTGATGACATGTTGAATTTGCCATTACTCATATTATGTGCCTACGTGCGAAAAAGCATATAGGCATATCGAGGAATCGCCAGTCACGTTGATCTAGTATGTCTGATACATATTTATAAAAAATGTAATAGTAACAACTGTTGAGTCACAATATTTGTCACCATTATCTAAACGTGCATGCTTGAATAGAGTCCTACGAGATGCACCATCTCATATAGCGCAGAATAGGTTATTTTAGGGTCCGGATAGGTTTATATAGATGTGTATAAGAGACAGATTATTATTATTATCGATATTTATACTATTATAATTCTCTCCCTAGGTCTATCATCCAAGAGGAAAAGGTGTGTTGAAAGATGTCCAAACGAAAACTCGAATTCAAAAGTATGTGGTACTGATGGAAGAACATACTCGTCCGAGTGTAGACTGAAAGCTATCGGCTGTAGGCGTAACGACCCAGACCTATGTGTTGCTTACACGGGGAAGTGCGTGACAAACACGAATCTCGAAAAGGGGCGTCTTCCTGATAACCCACTTTCAAGATCAGAAAACCAAGGATGATTAAACAAATGACGATGTGTATATTTTCTTGCTATATTTGAAAAATATACGATTTTGTTTGTAAAAGGGTCATTATTGATGATAAAACAATGTGATTGTTTTCGATATTACACCAGTATGTCCAGCGCCATGCACGTGACATTTACAATAATTGGACCTATATGAATAAGCATAAGCGATATATTATGTTTTAATACATAATGAGAGCGTACAAGAGCCATGCATACATGTATAGCTTCAAGAAATCCAATCGTCTATTATGCTGTCTCTTATACACATCTAGATGTGTATAAGAGACAGGTATATAAAGGATATATATATATATAATATAAAGTTTACAGTTGAGGATACAGGAATTTGAAATACAAGGGGCCCAAAGAAGGACTTTCACAATGGACTGTCTATCAACCTCATGAGTCTCACCATAGTTGGGGGTGAGGTAAGAACATTTTATGATTATAGCACCTGGACGGCCGGAAATGGCACTTTTAGACTTAAATTTGAGTAAAATTTTCGTTTTTTTCTCAATTTTGGTTAAATTTTTGAAAGATTTAGGGGTGGGGGCCAGGCCTCCCCTTAAATCCACCAGGTTTAACATTTCAGTTTTTATTTGGCAATCGAATCTCTATCAGGTCTATTCGTATTTTCAAACTCGTATACGTATATTGACGATGTCCAGGGTCCACGACTGTTATAATTATAACTCAATAACGTAAAGAATTTACTATTTGATACATTGTAAACATGAACTCTAGAGTTGTAGAAGTCATGTAAAAGAATTAGAAGTTATTAATTACCAGCTTTCATCGATAAACGGTCAGCTTTATTTAGGATTATTGTGGGATAAACACAAGAATGATACTGGATGAATGTATACCGGTACGTTTAATAATTTTATTACTATCTATTTTGCTTTATTATTTGGTTTACGTAGTTATCGCTCGCCGCTGCCGGGCCCAGGTCCCGGCGCCACTGCATGTGGATCCAATGAGCAGGGAAAAAGATGCGCTTTTGACCTCAAGAAAGAGGCGCATTATAAATACCTGAGTAAGTACCTATGTACCAGTGTGGCTCTGGCCATGAATTCTAGGCTTCCTCACCCCATTAACCTTAAATCATGTATCAGCCACTGGAAGAAATGTGGCAGCTGCTTTGTAGGTTGCCAGTGACACTGCCGCCGAGAAAGGTGGGGGGGGGGTCAGGCGGAGTAAAATGCTGAGGGGAAATTTTTAAAATCAATAGCGTTAATCAATCAATATTTTGATCATACTCTCATTAGTGTAAGTAATCGTTTAAATTAGGAATCTAACTAAATGAAACGCCAATATAAACTCTGCATCTGCACCCCGCTGTGTCTCAGCCGGCTCCCTTTTAGGGCCTTGGCGGCTACGCTGCCCCAGCACCCAGGGTGGCTCTCAAAATCTGCTCACCTCGTCTCTTAATGCCTTTTGTTTGCATTGGGATGAGTTGCAGCTACCAATCTGCGTATTTGTGTTTGAATAGTCTACTCCTGGGTAGAGAGAGACAACCGTTGGAAAAGTGCCAGCAAAATTCACAAGAAAAGATTGAACCCTAGACATCTAGTTTGAAATGCTGGACCCGCCACCTCTGCTCGAAACTGTTTCCAAACTTTGTCACAAAATAATGATATTTCTGTATGGCCTTAAGAATCACAGAATTCGTCTTTGATTCATATACAATGGTTGCTCAATTACTATATTATTTTATTTATATTTATTTGTTGCCAATACAAGAATGTTTGGGACTTTGTCCTCGCTCCTAATCACTTTTGTGCGCTACACGTTATCGCCGACTCCCTTGGCGACGCTGATTGGTCAGTTGAATCATGTCAGGGAGCGTTCCCGATTGCGTCGGGAAACAGCTACGCAGTTCAAGGATTGCAGTGAAAACTCACATAGCGGATGAGTAGCGATTCTAGCGAAACCATTCTTTAGGCAGCCTCCGGGCTCCGCGTTTCTCAGCATTGGCTTGTCGGTCACCCAGTTACAAATAAGACAAGTTTAAACGGTTTTTCCTCATTGTTTAATATTTGATAAACAAAATCCACACTATTATTTTGAAAGTTTTATTAACGATTCGTGATCACGTCACAGTGTGTAAGAGCGTTTTTATTGGTTAGGCCTATAATTATTTAATAACCGCAAGATGAGTTAGACTTACTTTACTCCATGCCTA